GTTTTTCGAGACAGGGTTTCTCTGTGTAGCTTTGCGCCTTTCCTGGAACTCACTTGGTAGCCCAGGCTAGCCTCGAACTCACAAAGATCCACCTGGCTCTGCCTCCTGAGTGCTGGGATTAAAGGCGTGCGCCACCACCGCCCGGCTTAAAAGTAATGTTTATAAAGTGCTAAATTATCAAATTAAACATCATACTTTCTCCTTTTATAAAATATTGGCTTCATTAATAGTCTGAGATACAGTAATATCTTTGTCCTTCACTACAATTTCGAAGATGAAAACATTCACTTTCAAATGGCATCTGTGACTTTTTGGGGCTGTGCTGGGGACCAAACCTTGCCAGCCTTCCTTCTCCTTAGGCCAGTGCTGTACCTGGAGTTACACTCCCAACCTCTCTCGTAACTTTTAGGTATATGGTGCTCCTTACAAATTTTCTAAGGTTAGGTTATAAACCATGGTTCTGGGACCTACCAAGCTATATTTTTTACTGTTTTCAGAAACTGTCTTGGCCTCCTATGAGGCTCACTGTATACCTCCCTCAGAGTTTGAGTTTTTGGCCTCATCTTTGGTCTTATTTTCTCTCTCCACGTCTCCCACCCCCCTCTTTCTTTCTCGTTCTCTCTCTCTCTCTCTCTCTCTCTCTCTCTCTCTCTCTCTCTCTCTCTCTCACACACACACACACACACACACACACACACACACACACACACACTTCACAAGTACTTTGGAATAAAACAAGTATGTTAAAGGTAAGATTGGTGAAGTCAGTTATACTGAAAAGTGTATTTTTTTGTTTTCTAAATCAAGGTAGTTTGTTTAATTTTAAATAAACATATCAAAAAGTGAATTTTGAGATGTCAGTCAGAATAATTTTATTGAGATTTGAAGCTTATTGTTTAAAAATACTCATATCTTTAGAGCTTATTTTACACTCATGCTTACACTGACTTTTCCTATGTCCATTTCCTAAGCAGTCCCTCCTCCAGCTAATAACCAGAGGCTACTGTGTTTGCTTATGTATGCAGTGCTTCTAGTGTGCAAGCAAATGTTATTTAACAGCATTTATAGACACTTTCCTTCTGCTTTACAACTGAGAAATTAAACCAGATTAAATAACTCGTTTGGTACTCTGATGGCTGGCAGCAAAGCTGGGCTCAGCCTGCAACTGGCAGCCTTCCATACATGATGTGATAGACTTTTTGACTATGCTCTTAGTAGTGCTAATAGCATCTCGCCTATTGATTCTGAAAAGAAAAAAAAAATTCCACTATGTACCTATGTATCTGCAATCTTTCTGTATTAGTCTGCCTATCTAGATATTCATGAACAAATTTAATTATGAAGTACAATATTTCAGAGTAGAAATAAAAGTAACTGATAAAATTTAAATTTTCTAGATTGATTTCAAGTGAAAAGAAATGAACTGATTTCAACATTGCTTTCAGCTATTACTAAAGAATGAGGAGGTATCAAGAGTGGTGGATTGTACGAATAATTTCAGTCCTAGGGGGTTGAGCTAGGAGGATTTCAAGTTTAGGAACAGTCTGGGCTATATAATGAGACTCTTGTCTCAAAATAAATTAGTAAATACCAGTTTTGTTTAGCATAATTCCAGAATTTAATTGTGGAATTAAACTCATTTTTGAGTCAGTTGGTCTATATTGTAAAGATATAGCATGTGTTTTCACCAGTCAGCACTGCTCCCAGTGCAGAGGACAGAGCAGGGTGGTGTGGGCAGTGTCCTTTTCAAAGGACAGGACCTGGTGGTGATGCAACCTACTTCCTCTACACTATGCTGGATAGAGTGAGTCGTGTGGCATGTCTTTCCTCATAGTACTTTCTAAGCAGGATGGCCATGTGCTCAACTTACACATGAGCCTTGCCACTGTTAAAGGGACAGGGATGGTCTCTGCCAAGAGCCTAATGGAGAACGTAAACTTACAGTAGTTTTGCTAAAAGTTACTCTAAATATTTTTTGGCTTTTAAAAAATATATCGTAGAGATAAGTGATAATGTGTTATATTTTGAAAAAACAATATAAATACATTAAACTATCCATTACTAAATCTTACATGTGCATCTCCAGTAAATACAGATGGAGAGCATAGATGGATCAGCTGTGTACTTCCTGACAGGTCCTCACAGTGCATCTAAGTGTTAGCTAAGGAGCCCTTGGCAGAAGTCAGGATCATGAGCTTGCCCTTCAAGTTTGGTACCTAAGATAACCATTCTCTTAGTGTCCTGCAGGCATTTGACTTTCAGGTACACTGATGTAAAAACAAATACAGGTAAATTTGAGGTTGTAATAAGCCGGGACTTTTCTGCGGAGAGTTTACATTCCTCATAGAGGTTTTTACAGTTAATTTTCTGTTACATTGTGATTCAGTGAGTTAGCTCTGAACAAATAAAGTCCAGGGGAAAAATGTGGTCAAACATTAGACCTCAAATTATATTAACTTTTACCTTGATTCAAATTTATAGAGCTTTAAAAAGATGAATATGCCTGAATAAGATTCCATAATACATAGTATATCAGTTATTAAATGTGCACTGATGCCTATGTGAGACATTTGTCAAAACCAGTTTTTCAGAGATAATAATAGATTGGTACACATATCACTGAAATATTTGACTGTTAAGATGAAAACTTTTATGTTTATGCCTGTGCCGTTAATTATATGAATTGTAACATTTGCACACTGACTTTACAATTTTTATTGTATGTTATAATGAAAATTAGGACATGTTTGTATTTCATTTGTGAATACGTAGTAAAAGCAAAATCAAATGTAGTTCATATGTGAGTTGAGTTGGAAAGAGATTGATGTGTTCTTTAAACAGCTGTGTTAATTCTAGGATTCTAAATTCTTGTGTTTTTGTTTTTTTGTTTTTTTGTTTTTTGTTTTTGTTTTTTGTTTTTCGAGACAGGGTTTCTCTGTGTAGCTTTGCGCCTTTCCTGGAACTCACTTGGTAGCCCAGGCTGGCCTCGAACTCACAGAGATCCACCTGCCTCTGCCTCTCGAGTGCTGGGATTAAAGGTGTGCGCCACCACCGCCCGGCAATTCTTGTGTTTTTAAGGAATTTTTTATTTGCGGGGGAGAGGTTGTATGCTTGAATTCTGAACCATGCATTTTAAAGCATGTTTGTTTCTTTTTTAAACAGTTTTGATGTTGTATTTGCTGGTGGGCCTGAAGAACTACTAAGAAAGTTCCAAAAGATGAATCACAAAATCGTCTTTGCAGCCGACGGGATTCTATGGCCAGATAAGCGGCTGGCAGACAAGTACCCTGTAGTGCACATTGGGAAACGCTACCTGAATTCAGGAGGTATGAATGATGCTGTGAATGAGGAATGAATGAGGCTGTGCCAGCCTCACAACCATGATCTTGCTGTGAAGTATTCTGAGAGCTCATGTACAGTTTAGAGCTGAACAATCATCCCCGTGTCATACCCATGTATCTAGGCCGTGCGGATGTCTGAGCTTCCATGTTGCAAGTGAGAAGTCATGTCTTCTGATTACCATTTATTGAAAGGTTTTGGGTCAGGATATTAAGTTTAATAAGCTTACTTTGAAAAAGTTCATGTTTAATCTGTAATCACATGATTAAAAATAGCCACTTGTTAATGTGATCTGTTTTAAAATATATTGTGTTGAATTACTTGTTTTGACTTTTGTAGCCAAAATTTTAAATAATGTCTGAGTGTATAGCAGTATTACATTCTCTATGTGAGTCACCACAGAATAAATAACCATGATCATACACACTTCTCTAATGATAAATGAAAATTGGACCTTGGGCATATTGTGACTGCACTGTGTTTCCCTTGAACTGTAAACACACAGACAGAAGGCATAACCATGTAGGATGGAGGACTTGTGTTCTGTGTAGGAATAACGTGTGAAAACCATACTTTTGGTTTCCAGTGAGTGAGTTGATTTAGTATATAAAAGCAAAAATAAAAGAGAAAGTTGCAGATAGAAACATCAGACATCAAATTAGCCATTTATAATATGTAGCAGTAGCCTGGCTGAGACCTCAATTAGACCTCAAATTATATTAACTTTTACCTTGATTCAAATTTATAGAGCTTTAAAAAGATGAATATGCCTGAATAAGATTCCATAATACATAGTATATCAGTTATTAAATGTGCACCGATGCCTATGTGAGACATTTGTCAAAACCAGTTTTTCAGAGATAATAATAGATTGGTACACATATCACTGAAATATTTGACTGTTAAGATGAAAACTTTTATGTTTATGCCTGTGCCATTAATTATATGAATTGTAACATTTGCACACTGACTTTACACTGTCAAATCAAAACTTAGGGCATCCAGCAGAAGTCGGCTGGGGGAGATGCAGTGGGGCAGGGTTCCTGAGAATCCCTCCCTCAGTGAGCTGGCTTCCTGTTTCCACTGTCCTGTGTTATGGGAGAAACAGTAGTAACCAGTGTTGGAAATACTTCACCTTCAAGCTGTTCAATTAAACAGTGTGTTTACTGCCTTAGCTGTTAACTGGTTTTCCTGTTTCAGAGTCAGGGGTCAGCCTGGCCCAGGACATGGTTTTGTAGACACTTGACATGAACATGCTTGAATCTGACACGAGGGGGCTCTTAGCTGTTCAACAAGCTTAAATAGAACTTGGCAATTTACCAATATAGTGTATATTATAGCATGGCAGAGAGATAAGTTAGGTCCAGTTGCAAGCCATATTGGGAAATGGATGTTTGAATTGATAGTGGATCCTGTTCAGACAGCTCCGTAAATGCTGTTTGAGGTAAGCATGTGTGGGTTGCAGACATCGCTTAGTCATCTGTGGTGATGTAGCTGTTAGCAAGCTAGTCATTTCTCTGTAGTGACTCAAGCTCAGCATTTACATCTATATTTCATTTTAGCAATTCTTCCTACAGTCATAATTTAGAACTTTTCGGTCTGTATGGACCTCTGAGATCTCAGGTTTCAGCCTGTGCTTTTTAGAGCCCCCTTTCCTCCATTCCAACACATACTGTCCATGCCTTTGGGACCTCTTGACCCTTGTATTATATCTTACCAGACTGTTTGCCCCTCAATTCTTGAGGGACATTGTTGTATTCAAGTCAGTGTCTAGGATTATATAATACAAGTGTCTAGGACCCTTGTATTATATCTTACCAGACTGTTTGCCCCTCAATTCTTGAGGGGCATTGTTGTATTCAAGTCAGTGTCTAGGATTTGCCGTGTTAGTCTGCTGACATCACTGCCCTGCTACTGAGCTGGCTGCCCACTCTTCTTTCTCCTTTGGAGCCATTGCCCCAGGTGTGGTACTGATCCTCTGCCCTGGCCACTGAACTGTCAAGCTCTCAGTCACAGTACATAGTTCATTTTACAATTGGACCCACATTAGAGGTTTTTAAAACATACATTTTAAAGGAGAAGTATAGCTTTGGATTAGGTTATATTTTGTATTCAGTTAATTTTTTTTCCTGGAAGTGGCATGCACGTGAGAGTCTGTGGTAGACATTCATCTGGACAGTAATATAGTCACTGGGGGAAATTTCAGAGGGACCCTCAGTGCTGTGGAATCGACAGACATTAGCAAGTAAGTGCTGCTGTTTGCTAGTGACCTAATACAGGGCAAGTCCTTGGAGGTAAAGCACTCAATTTCTATCCACAGTCAGAATTATTAGAGAGAAGGCAGGGAGCATGAGTGTATGCAGTCAGAGCTTGTGATTTCACACAGTTTGGGAGAGACATTCAAAGGACATGAGTTATGACTTAGTAAAAATGTACCAGTTACTTTTAAAACATGTTAGTAGAAAAAATAAATGATGAATGCATCTGACTGTAATTTTATTTCATTTCTTTTGAGATATTTGGTCTTAGGAGAAGGGTAAGGAAACACTTTTTTATAAGACAATAATATAGGCCATTGGAAAATGTTATATCAGTATTTTTTATTATTCAAGATCATTCATAGTTATGAAAAATACATTGTCAGTTGGTAGAGATGCTCTGTGGTTGAATGCTCACTGCTTGTCCTGTTCCTGGAACCCACATCACATCGATCAGCTCACAAGTATTGTAGCTCCTATTCAAGGGAATCTGACATTGTCTTTTGACCTCTGTGAGCACCTGTACACACATGGCTCACATAAAAACAAGCAGGCAAAAAAAAATCTTTTTTTAAAAGTTCAGTTTGTGTGTGGTGAGTGTTGTCTGTCAATGAAGCAGAGCAGCTGGCCACATGTCTGAAACTCAGGGCAAGACTTAGAAAATGATCCTGCTGTCCCTGTCTTTATAGATACGTGCCATTGGCAGATTCATCACATAGGCTCGAAGGCCAAGAGGAACACTCCAATTTTAGACTTCCTTTTCCCGGACAATGACATGTAAAATCTAGCCAGAAAAACGGTCTACCAGGCACAGTAAGACTGGTTTCAAGTAATGGAAAACATTCCCCAAATTCCCTAGATAGAAAATTTCTTCAGGATTTTTGTAGCTGGTGACAACCCACATTCTTTGCCTACATTGGAATCTTGGCACAGCAGGAGACATTTCCTTCATTCAGAAGCAGTGGTTCCTTTTCAGTGGGCTCAAGAGCAATTCACAAGGTCTAGAGGAATTCCATCTTACTCTGCTCTGTCCCTAGTTAGCCTTCCTTTAGGAACCTTGTAAAGTAAGTTCTTATTTGTCAGTTAACTTCAGGAATGCATATATTTATATATATTTAAAAGCATCTTTGATTTTCTTCCTTTGTATTATAATTAGTGTTGTCTCTCCATTATAACACACATACATATGTGTTGGACCTCATGACTTTACGACTTTGTCGGCTGTTGGGTGGAACTAAGTTGACATGCATTTTGGTCATTGAATTCTGAGCTCTCCACTGTGTTTGTGTATTGCAGGCTTCATAGGCTATGCTCCATACGTCAACCGTCTGGTCCAGCAGTGGAATCTGCAAGATAATGATGATGATCAGCTCTTTTACACTAAAATTTACATCGATCCAGTGAAGAGGGTAAGGAATAGCTTGCAAGTTCTCCATTGCTGCTTTGGCTGCTTTGACTTTTGTATTTTCCTCAAGGAAGTGGTCAGAAACAAAAGGATTTGGGGAAACTAAATTGCAAATTATTTTCGTTAATATCACAGTTGAAACAGTACAAGTCCCTGGAACAAGCAGTGAGTAGGTGACCTTGGTCTCCCTCCCTTCTTTGGGTATGTGAACTCTCTGATTGTCTCTGTATCTCTCAGTGACTGAGATATTGCCAACTTAGGTTCATTAGAGAGGAAAAAAGTAGGTTTAAGACCCTGTTATTCGCCATATTATGTGGAAACACATCAAATGACTAGAAAATTCAGGGCCAACCTCTACCAGAGTATAGCCTCACCTGCTGTATACTCACTGCCAGGTCTCTCAATATCAGAATGAGTAAAGCCAGTAAGGTGTCTGAGGCTGGAGACCAAAAACAGTACCAGACAATGATGTCATATTTAGAGTAGATATCTATCATTAAGACACGGTGTTCTAGCAGTAACAGTTTAAAAAGCCTACCGCTATGCCTAGCAATACTTTGATTGGTACTTTGAAATGGTATATGGATAAGCCCACTCAAAAAGTTTGCCACACTGGAATGGACGTCTCTGTAAGACTTGTCCCTTGGAGTTTGAGGTGCCTCACCATTGTCCAGGTTGCTGGAATTGTAGACATAGCTTTGGACATGGTCCTGTGAAGATAGATCTCATTGTGTTTTATAGCCGGCTGGAGGACTAAGAATGTTTGCAAAGAGGCTGAGCAGATGGCTCAGTGGATAAAACATTTGCCTTGTCAGCTTGAAGACCAAGTTGGGATCCTCAGTACCACATAAATGCCAAGCAGACTCACCTGTAGTCTTAGTTCAGAAAAACAGAGACTAGAGGACCCTGGAGAAAGCTGGCTAGCTAGATTAGGTGAACTGGTGAGCTCCAGATTGAAGTGAGAGACCTTGCCTCCATAGGAGGTGAAGAGCAATTGAAAAAGTAGATACTCGGTGTCTACTTCTGGCTTCTACATACATTTGTACACACACACACACACACACACACACACACACACACATTGGCCAAAACGGGGAGCAGAAAAACAGAGTGCTTTAGAGTGTAGATTGTAGAATGAATAGATGAATAGATCATGAAATTCCAGAGACTGTGGCCTGAGATTCTAGCCTTATTTCCTAATAAAAATACTATAATTATCACAAATAAATTAACTAAAAATAGTAGTGGGCTAAATAAGGTAGGTGTTTGTCCATGTTTTTTTTTTTCTTCTCACATACTAAAAATAAGAGGAGCATTGGCTGTAACCGTGGTGTTCTGCTTTCAAGCAGGGTAGCTCTTCACTGTTCCATAGATAGTCTGGAGTGCATATTTCAGTGTGTCCTCGGTAGCCAGAATCACTACTGGAGTCCCAGTCATCACAGTCATGTTCTGGGCAGATAAAATGCAGAATAGTTTAAAAACAAAAGTACCATTTAAATTTGTGAGCTCTCCTTAGCTAGCCTTTCGGAAGGGTCAGGAAGTGCATTTACTTTTCTGGACAACTTATCATGTAACTGCATATAACACAAGTGAAATTTCTTGCTTTTACAAAAACATAGGCCATACTGAAAATCTGGGGACTCTTAGAACCAAGTCTGCCACCGACTTTATAGAGAAAGTTCATAAAATTGATTTAATCTTTAATTCAGAGGGAAAAAAGCAAACTGTAACTTGAAACATATTGTATTTAAATAATATGAAGTAATGTTTTGTGCATTTTCTGTGCACTGCTGATGCAATTGTAATGTTTCTTGAACTGGGCGTTCTGTGCACTGTCACCGGGGAAGCAAGGCCTCCGTGTGTGCTCCACAGTGCTTGCACCTTCAGTGCTGTCTTAGACACCTGAATAGTTTCACTAATACACTGGACATCATGACTGTGTTGTCGTATGACTGTTTCTGTTGTAATTGTCATGTTACCTATTTTCCGTTTTTTTTTTTTTTTCTTTCTTTTTTAGGAAGCTTTTAACATCACATTGGATCACAAGTGCAAAATTTTCCAGGCCTTGAATGGAGCTACAGGTACAGATGCCCACACTGTCTTCTCATGGACGTGAATGCCTATTTTCAGCATTCTCTCCTGTGTTAGAACATTTGGGGCTGTGACCACGGTGGCAACCTTTAAAATGTTAAAAAAAAAAAAAATCAAATACTGAATTTAATTTAATGTTTCCATATAGTTCAGAAAAATATCCTTTCCTAATGTCAGTACACTCCTGCAGAATGTGTGCATGCACCCACACACTTAAAACTATCTGCACAGTCTGTGCACACTTATAGTACACTCATAGTGTGTGTATATGCCTGTATACTTAAGAGTACACTGTGTGCTCATCCTGCACACTTATGAATACACTCCTACAGAGCACATGTGTACTCCTACAGAGCATGCTCACTCGCCCATGCCCTGTGCACCTATGAGTATGTATGCACTGATAAACTTGCAAGTACATATGCAAAGCATGTGTATACACATGGACTTGTGTGCATATTCTTAGAGCATGTGTCCTCACTGACACATAAGTGAGTATACTCTAACAGTATGCACACACACTTACACATGTGATAGTATGTGCACATAACACCTGCACATTTTTGAGTATATGCACAAAGTGTACACACACCTGCATATGTGAGTACACTCACAAAGTGTGTGTACATACCAGTACATATGTGAGTATGCTCTCACAGAGCATATGGGCACACATGTACACTTGTGAATACACAAACAAGCATGTTTGCATACTTGTGAGTTCATGTGCAGAGTGTATGTGCACATGAGTACACACATAGCATGTATATACCCCTGCACATTTTTAAGTCCTGGCTCAAAGAACATGCGAATACATCTTCATACTAACGAGTAAATGTACAGTGTATGCACACAACTACACACTTTTGGTTATTCAAACAGAACTTGTGCACACACGTACATACTTGTGAGTATACACACAGACATGTACATCCCTGCATATGTGAATACATCTGCACAGATTGTCCATGTACATACTTGTGAGTATCCTTGATATTATTATTTATTTAGAGATACATATACTGTAGTATGGCATGTCAATACATCTATGTACTAAAATCTATGTACTAAAAGTCAAAATATTTTTTATCTATTAATGCATATTATTTTAAAAATTAAGAATATGTTATAGTTCTGTATAGTTCATGGTGCTGTCCATAGAGTGATTAGATTCTTGGAATAGAAGGCATGTAGTGTTTAAAACTGTGAGGAGGGTTGGGGATTTAGCTCAGTGGTAGAGTGCTTGCCTAGCCAGCGCAAGGCCCTGGGTTCAGTCCTCAGCTCTGAAAAACAAAAACAAAAACAAAAACAAAAAACAAATAAAAATAAAACTGTGAGGACAGGAACCAGATATACAAACACAACACCTCTCGTGATCCTCTCTGTCTTTCTGGACTGTCACAGAAGACCAGTTGAGAGCTGTACATCTATCAGATGGCCAGTCAGCTGTGAAAGTCTTGCTTATGCTGGGCAGTGTACCTTCACCATACACACATTGCTTGCTGTTTCTAGAATAAACCTTCAAGGCCAGTCTGGGTCCACTACAGGTGGATAAGTTGTGATAGTACATCCAGCTGGTGTCACACTGCTAAAAAACAGGTCAGGGACCAGCAAAGCACTCGACAACCTGGCTTAGTGCTCAGGCATTTGGTTAGAAGTCAGCCTGTGTCTGTCCACACTGTCCTTCAATTTTGAAAACTACTGACTTGGGGAAGATAGTTTCTATGCACTGAAAACTGTGATTGTGTGTCTTGGAAATCCATAGACCTACAAATGTTTGAAGTTAACACAAACTTTTCTCCTTTGAACCTAGATGAAGTGGTTTTAAAATTTGAAAATGCTAAAAGCAGAGTGAAGAATACGTTTTATGAAACACTGCCAGTGGTAATTAACGGAAACGGACCCACCAAAGTGAGTACCTGTGCCCTTAGTTGATTATCTGTGTCTCAGGGTCGGACTGTGGAGCAGCATGGGAGGATCATCATCCCTTTAAAACACTTGGAAAACTTGAGTGTGAACAGTTTATTTACTTTGTCTTTTCTGCAGGGTAGCATCTGATTTAAAATAAACAGGATTTTCTCTGAGCAACAGTATGACCTTTTATTCTATAGGTAGATGCTTCACTTTAGTGTCTACTGTTCTAGGAACAGTAAAGGCCAGAGGGCTGGAGAGCAAGCCTTATTCCTCTAATTGCTCAGAGAGCCTAGAATAACCACCTGTGTTACACGTGAAAAGAAATAATTTCTTCAACTAATTTGATCCATAATAAAAACAATGACCTTAATCCATGCCCTAAAATGATAGTGCTTAGCTGCTGTAACCTTGACTAATGGCTAGACAGAGTTGGGGGGTAGGCTCTCTGTGAGGGCAGATGACATCATATTTGGAAGTGCTTTGAAGAGGACTCAGGAAAGTACTGGCACCCTGTGCCCAGAAGCCCAAGGCAGCCTCGCCCCATAAGCCACTTTCCACACCTTCCATGGCGGCCAGCAGAAACGTTATGAGGAAAACAGATGCCCTGGTGTATGGGAATTGGGAGGGGATGAGTAATCTCTGCCATGGGATGACAAATACAAGGACATTTCCCATCAAAAGTACTGTTTCCCAATATCTTAATTACCCCTGATACAAAGGGCAGAAGGTGGAAAGTTACAAACCCAGACTTCAGTTCTGAAAGCTGAAAGCTATGCCCCTTGGTGCTTTACCCCTTAGGACTATTGGCTATTTCCATGTTTATACAGGGAATCGAGTAGACTAACTCATGGAATAAATATTAAATTTTTATATTATTTCTAAGTGGGAAAGGTGTCAGTTCTGGTATGTTGTGAGGATTTTTAATTTCAGGGACTTATACTTTCTTTTAAAAATTATTTTCAAGGATCTTTTAATGAAGATTATGTGTTTTGTACTTTGTATTTTTCATGTCCTTTCAAAGTAACATGTATTAAGGGGCACATTTTTATATAACTGTTTTATTTCAATGCTCACTTGTTATTTGACAATCAGAAGTACTTTCTGTGTCTGTTTTTATTACACATTTTAAAGCTACCATTGCTCCCTACCCCCTTTGAGAAGGTGCCGCTGTGTAGTCCTGGTTAGCATGGCACTCACCTTGTATACCAGGCTGACTTGGAATTCAAAGAGATCATCTGCTTCTCCTTCTGGAGTTCAAGGATTAAAGGCATACCTGACCATGGCCAGCCATACTGACTCTTGAAATGTCATAATGACTCTCATGATCATATGGTTTCCGACTTCTGAGTTACCATATCATCCAAAGCAAGTGCCCTGGTGATGCTTGTCCAGGTCTCAGGTTCGCAGAGGTTCATCGTATCTGCTTCTATAGCATCTAGGCAGCACCAAGGCTTTCCTGTCCTAATGCCGAGCTCACTGATTTCAACACCTTCAGTGCAGTTGAAATACTCTGATAGACCTGGGGAAGGACTCTGGTAAAATGGCTGGCTGAGGACCCTCATCTGTGCTGTACTTTAGGGGCTTAAGAAGCTGCAAATACCTTGGAAGCACTTCTTTACGTGCTCGCACTGCTGTCTTTAATATGTTGGACTATTTCTTTTGACTGTCTTACTTTTGCCATGTTAAAACAAACAAACAAAAACATGATTAGCTGGCGATGGTAACACAAGCCTTTAATCCCAGCACTTGAGGAGGCAGGGGCAGGTGGATCTCTCCAAGTTCCAGGGCAGCCTGGTCTACACAAGCGAGTTCCAGGATATCCAAGACTAGACAGAGAAACCCTGTCTCAAAACAAAAACAGAGACAAACAAGCAAATAACATAATCATATAAGCATAGTGAGGATTTGAGGTGTGTTCTTACAATGCTAATGTTAATTTACAACGGACACTGTGTGGTATCAAAATCGCAAAGCATGTAGTAACTTCGTTACAAATACATCTGGAGAATGAGTATCTTCTGCAGTGTCCCGATTTCAGAGAGTTTCGAGGTATTTTGAGGGCGCATAGTATACTTGTTTCTTGTGCCTTCTTCCTTCTGTCACTGGCTACCCTTCAGAACATAAAATCAGTTTTTACAAAATGAAATGAATCCCAGTAGATGCTTAGAAGAGGGGGTCCGGTCAGCGAGGAGGTACCCTGTCAGGTGGGTACAGCCTACACTTTAGCTTCTCCTTGGTTTGTGAAGTGACTGTATTAATCCCTTGCTGCGTCTGTCCTCTGAGCAGCACCCCAAAGCCTGGCTGACATAATGTGTCTCCAGAAATATCTTAATGTTCTTTGGTGATGAAGCGGCCTCACTCTTTGTTTTGTGTGATGTGTTGGTGAGAGATCCCATTACCCCTTCTCCATTGACTGCACATGTCTGTGCTGGACATTTAAACATCTCATCACTGCACACAGAACTCATGGTGGTTTGTCTAAATGTCTTGTTTGCTCCTTTAAAAGTTTGTTTGGCCCTCTTTTTTTTAACAATGGTAACTTCTAGTATTATTCCTTACATCAAATTATATCAAATACTATGACCTGCTGCATCTTTTATAATAAGTTGGACATTTCTAGACATAGTTTGTAGCACTTAATGATTCGTCATCTGAAGAAAGCTTTGTTTAATGTGTATATGTTGGTGTGATTAGGGGATTGTACCAGGTACAGACAGAATTCTGTGCAGCTGTGTGATTATATAGTGAGAACGTGGTAGGTAAGGACTGCTTCTGTTCATCTGTTTTTCCTGCACTTATTAGATTCTCCTGAATTACTTTGGAAACTATGTTCCCAATTCATGGACACAGGAAAAAGGCTGCACTCTATGTGACTTTGACACAATTGACTTGTCTACAGTAGATGTAAGTGGAATTCATTTGTATGAACTTGTATCAAAAATCTACATTGTCATGAAATGTGACTCAGGAAAAACGCAGATTGTTGTATAGTTTCCATTGTATATTTGATAATGGCTTTATAATGTAAAGTGTCTTAGAATCTAGAAAGCCTGCCTTTTGAATTGTTTTGAAAGCACTAACGGCTGACAGTTGACCTCATTTGCCGTAAGGGTACTGAGCACCTACAGCATGCCAGGGGAGTCAGAGCAGCACTGGTAAAAAGAAAGTCCCCAGATGCGTGACTGTCGCCGCTGTGGAGTGGCAGCAGGGTCCCACAGCACAGAGCCCTTGGACTCCCGAAACAAATGTTTGATTTTTCCTCGCTGCCTGAAGGGAGGATCAAAAGTAAATTGTCTACATTTGGTACCTTCTGAATAGAGCTCTATGCCACTTGAAAGTAAGGTTTTTTGGCCAGACTTTGAAGCAACAAACTAAATGTTTCCTATCTGGAAAGAGGGCCAGAGCAGTTCTGAATGAATCCACACCATGGATATGTTTAAACGCTTGTCTTGATGTTTTTTGCAGAAAATGGTGTTGTCCTCTGGAAGGAGAATCAATTCCTTCTGTTTGGATTTTCCTTTCTAATTTAAACTTTGTGGTTCAAGGATAAAATGTTAGTGTTGAGGTTTTTATTCATATAAATAATGTTTTTTTGCATGTTAATAATTTGGTTTGCAACTGCGTTTGACTTTAAACTTATTAAATTGTTCTACAAAGGGAAAATGATTTATTCCTAAATATAATAAAAAACTGTAGTTTTTAAAACATAGTGATCATGCAATCGTGACATAGAAATGAAATATTTGTAGGAGTTAAGATCCCAGACACAGCATATGTTTAGTTGTGGATCCTTGCAGTTTCTTACTGGGTAAAATTAGATTTTTATTCATTTATGCTATGTGTGTGCATGTGTTCGTGTACAGTTAGTGTGCACATTCTGTCTGCACGTGTGGAGGCCAGAGCACAGCTCATTAGAGTTGGTTCCCTTCTTTTACTACGGGAGTCCTGGGTCAGATAGACAAGCTTGGTGGCAAACACCTTACCACCTGAGTCGTCTTGCTGGCCCTCCACGTGTATATTTTAGATACATTTTTAATTTAATATTTAAATTAGTTTAATAGATATTTTAACTCCTATTGTTACTATTTAAAAACTTAAAACAGAACCATGCAATGGCTCTATATTCCGACTCTGAGTTTTATCTTGCTTGTGTATAAATGTGGGTTGGCTAACTTCTAAGGCTATTAGGATATTTGAATTAAACACGTAAGAGAAGATGATGGACTGCCATAGTTAATGTGTATTACAGATGTTTTCATATAAAAGAATAAATGAAAGAAACTACACCTAATACATGCTTAAAGTAGATTTCAGAAAACATATAAAAATGTTTGCATTAAGATAATATATTAGTGAAAGTAGTTTTTCTTATATAAAAAAACATGCCAAAAAAAAGTAAAAGCAGCAAAGCCTGTTAATAAGATGAGATCATTCCTCCTCCTCTTCCCTCTCCATACCCCTTCTTTTCTTTTTTCCTTTCTCCCTGTCTCCTCTTTCTCCATGCCCAGGGATAGGTGGGCACTCTACCAGTAAGCAGCATCCCTGACCTAGAACTGTTTTTTTTTTTTTTTTTTTTTTTTTTAATAGAAATTTTCAAAACAGCATTCGGCTTCTTTCAGAGGAGCCCCGAAGGAAGTGGGTCACTTATGTAGGCTGTGTCCTATGTCACCCATATGGTGAATAGGATAATACCTTTCTTTAAGTTATAAGTCCAAGTCACAGGAACGAGAGGTAGTTCAGTAGAATCGCTGTGATTGGCTTCCTAGATATTGACTTGCTGTGTTAGAGGACCGTCAATGGTTGGTGCAAGTCTAGTGAGTATATGCCGACGGGAAAGTCTTGTGTTTCTTGTTTTGTTTTGTTTTATTTTGTTGTTTGTCTCCCCCCACCCCCATGGTACTGGTTAAGATTTGAATAGATTTTAAAATCATACTGATCATAATTATTTTCCTTTTGTGTTTGCTGCAAAACATAGATCCATCCAAAAGTAACAATAGGTGTTTTTATTGAACAACCAACCCCTTTTCTACCTCGATTCCTGGACTTACTGTTAACACTGGATTATCCCAAAGAAGCATTGAAACTCTTTATTCATAATAAAGTAAGTATTTCAGTCTTGAGTGTTGAACGTGAGAGGTTTTTTTGAAGCAACTCCTCCTGTCCCTAAAAACCAAGTGGAATATTTTACTTCTATTATGTGTGAAGAATTGAAAGTTTAATCTAATATTAGGCTGAGCCACATGAATTTGGCAGTTTCTATAGATCAAAATGGCTGCATATCAGCCATGTTCACATAGCTTGTCAGCATAATCTATGAGGATGTGCAGAAGAGCCCGTGTTCCTTTGCGTTGGGGTGACTTTGGCGCTTTCTTTTATAGACTGCCCATTGGCGATATATTGTAATACTATAGCTTTAGAATGGAGATGATTCCAGAACTCTGCTTCCATCCGTCTCCAAGTGGCATGCCTCTCACCAGAGAAACTCGATACTGTTATTTTTGCAAGACATTCAGATCCTCCCAGACATATAATTTAAACATAGTCATTTCTGCCAGTATTTGTCTTATTTCTTTCTGTTGAAAGTTAGTTCTTACTCCATAGAGAAAAAGTTGATAGCCCCGAAGCATGCTGTTTTCTACTTTGTGGTGATAGGTTTTTGTTTAACTATTATTTTTTTGGGTGTCTTATAATCATTTTTTTCCAGAGACTATTTAAAATTTCAGAAACCTACCTTTAGTAAGCTCAAAGAGTTTATACCAGACATTTGCTGTCCAAAAATAATCATAACATAGATACTTAACACAGACAGTTTTTATATTGGTGTTATTGTGCTTTGTGTTGACCTTGTACTTGCTTTCAAATGGCCTTAAATTCCTTCACGTCAGTTTTTAGCATTCTGTTGAAGGCTGTGTCATGCAGCCTCATGTGATAGCTGACCTTACCCTGCTGTGACAGCACTTTTGAGAAGGCAGAGTGAGATAGGATGCATAAAGAACACTGCTGCTGGAGAGGGAAGCCACTTGAACATCAATACAGCTGAGTCACAAATCCTCCTAAATCAGTGATTTTACATTGCTTGCTGTCTGTCAATATGAATTTGTTAGTCTCTTTTTGTCTAAAGACAGTTTTGTATGTGGTCATTAATTGCACTCTTTGGCTTCAAAGATTATTGTTATATTTTATTTTTCACAGACTAATATCTGTTACATTTCATAAGCCTCTCTTCTGGATTTTTATGGCAAATATCTAAGATTCTTAGGCAGCAGGATTTTTTTCCCTTTCAGTTAGAATTATTTTTAATGACTAGGATTTAAGTATTATTGTGGGACTTGACCTATGAGCAGGCATTGAAATAATTTTGAAGCAACTTCTCCTTTTGGATATTGATATCAACCTATTTTATGTTTTTTTGTGTGATTTTTCAAGTGATGGTTAAGTGCGTTTTCTGTAATTCAATAACTGAATTATATAACTTATACTTTGAGTATGAAGCATTGTCTTTATGAACAATTCAGGTTGTCTGTTTCCTCTCTAATTTTTATATTTAAAATCTGTTACAGGAAGTTTATCATGAAAAGGACATCAAAGTATTTTTTGATAAAGCTAAGCATGAAATCAGTACTATAAAAATAGTGGGACCAGAAGAAAATCTAAGTCAAGCGGAAGCCAGGAACATGGGAATGTATGTCTGAATAATATATATTGAATTGTTATTCTGGTTGATGAACTTTGAGGAAAAAAGCCCCCAAATTATTCTATTAAAGTTGCAAGGCACCTCTTTGCATGTGTAGGCATGCAGACACAGGAGTCAGTTCTGGGTGGGTATACACAGGAGTGGCCATGGAAGTTACTTATATTTTTCTTGAAACCGAGTCAAAATATTTAATCACCTTATGAATTAACTTCAGATAAAGATTTAAACAAAACATAAATGAATATTATGACTAATAGCGAATGGCTTACATCTAAATTCACCATCCAGAGGCTGTGTAAAAAGCTCCTTGGGGAATATGTGTGTTCCTGCTTAACATCACTAATATTCTATACTCAGAGAGCTCCTTTTGTTCCTTTAATATTTCCAATAGAGTGCTTGTAAAAGTCTCCTCACTGAACAGTTGTGTCTTAGTGAATGCCAAGCTGATGCTCCAACCGCTTTTTGAGAGCTGCTTGTAAGAAGGCAAGGATGCTGTGCCTTCTTATCAGGAGACATTCTTGTCTGTTGCTGACTCTCATGCCTTGTGCTGTGCAAGTCCAGCTCACAGCCAGGGTTTCTTCTTGGGAAGGGCTTTAGAATAGTCAGAAATGCCCATATCCCTAACTCAATTTATTGGTCAACCCCTTGAATCCCCATTCAGGACTTACTCTCTCTGATGGTTTGAATAACTGTTGTAAGTTTTCTCATCAACTGTCCTGCTTGGTAGCTAGTTTTAAAAAATGTACTTAAGAGCAGAAAGTGGCCAAGAGGTCCAGCTGTGAGGCTGGAAAGATGAAGCAGGCAAGAGAATCCTAAATGCAGAAGCCATAGCATGTGGAGGGTTTCATAGTATCATCAGTGGCTCAGTCCTTGGTTTCCTGTTGAAAACACTGCGGTCTCTCATGGAAAAACATTTTCAGTGATCAGGCAAGACATAACTGTCTTAAAAAGCACTCTATGGGATCAAGTGTAAAATGTTAATACTTAAGGAGCCTTTAACTTTATCTCTGTAATTCCTTTCAAACAAAAGTTGTTGGTGTCTTAGCATGTATAAGGCTGGGATTAATCTTATCAACACACACACACACACACACACACACACACACACACACACACACACACACGGAACCCAACCCCCTAAAAATCTGAATTATTGGTGATAAAGTATTTCGCTTTGTGTATCAGTCTGTTTGCATGTAAAAAGTAATATAGAATATAAATAAATTGGGGTAAGTTATTTTTTCTTTCAGAACGCCTAAGTTTCACAAATTCCCATTGTTACCAGATGTTTTGTATGTGTGGTGTATGTGTGCACCTATCATGCATGCAAAAGCCAGAGCAGGGCATCAGATGTCCTTATCTATCAAGATCCACCTTTTCCCCTGAGATAGCATCTCTCACTTCCCTGGAGCCAGGCTGGAGGCCAGCTAGTCCTAGCCACCTCCTCTGTTTGGGTCCCTGAAGTACTAGGGTGACAGGCCTTGCTCGGCTTTTTACATGGATTTGGGCCATAAGTTCTTATCCTTGCACAGCGACCACTATTATATACTGAGCCATCCCCGTGGCTCCTAAATGTTTTTATGCCTTAAAATATTTAGTGACTTCAAATATATATCTCATTTGGCCTAAAATTGTAGTGATCTCTACCTACAGATATATGTGTTGATGAATTAGTCATTTTCAATATCAAGGCTGTTTTAATTGGAAAATACATCAGAATATTCCTACTTATGTTTGCTTTATGCTAATATTTCCAAGCAGGAAATTTTATCTAATACTTATTTTATTCCTTCTCAACATCAGGGATTTCTGCCGTCAGGATGAAAAGTGTGATTACTACTTTAGTGTGGATTCTGATGTTGTTTTGACAAACCCGAGAACTTTGAAACTTTTGATTGAACAAAACAGGTACTAAGATTAGTAAATATGATTATTTCCCACATCTGTGTGGGCCCACTGCCTGTGTAATCAATGGAGGTCGGTCCCATTCAACTATCTACTACACTTTGTAAGCTCCCAGGACTAAGTATTCCATTAGCAGTCTTAGAAATGAAAGCATTCAGTAATACTTACCGTCAGACTGTGGCTGTTAGTGGTATTTGGTCTACTTTTCTATTTAAAGCTAAGTTCAATTATGTTATTGTTTCTGATACTAGTTAATTTACATTTTTTTATCATCCATGGATATTTCATTTATATTTTCATAGATAGGCCTTCATAAAACAGTTATTTCAGAGTTCTAGCTCTCGAATCAGACATTTCAGATACACTGATCATTTCACAGCCAGCTGTGACTGCATTTATTGGTGTACCGACTGTAACTGAGCTGTTCTTCCCACTGACTCACACTGAATGGAATGAAGACATTATGGATATCTAGTTACAAGGCTCGTAGTCCTACTTGTTATACTACAGCTGCTACCGATGCTGTTACTATTCACCGCTCCCCATAGCTCGCATGTGCTGTTTGTCTACATTAACACAACTGTGTCTCCAAGTAAAGAGAAAATGTAGAAGCTAAAATGTTAGCATGACTTCACTATGCTAAGTAACATATGTAGGAAGTTTGTGATGCTGCTCCAGGAGACACTGAGGTTATAAATTTTAAGGGTTTTTTGTTTTTGTCTTAATTGTCAAAATACTTGATGTCAGCCATGAACATTGAACCATCATTCCCTGAATACCTGTAAAGCTAATTTATACCTTTATTTCTAGTGCTATAGTTATTCCACAATACAAATCCATGTGCTTCTGGCCAATGTTTGGTAAATGGCAAAGTTAAAAAAAATAGTAGGTTGGTGGGCATATATTTTTTTAAGTTAATTTTTTATGTGTATAAGTACTTGTCCTGCGTGTATGTCTGGGTACCACATGTGTGTGTGTGTCTTGTTGCCTAGAGACTTGAAGAGGCTATCAGCTGACATGTGGGTTCTGGGAACTGAACCTGGGTCCTTTGGATAAGGAGCCAGTGCTCTTAATCACTGAGCAATCTCTCTAGCCTTGATATATAATCTTTTATATATTTATCTTACTTTTGTATATGTACAAGGAGGCCAGCTCATCTTCACAAGTGTTAGGCATTTTGAATCAGGATTCTTTGTGGAAAATGTTGAGTCCATAAGCATTTTGGAAGAATCATGAGCTTTTCTTAAATTGTATGGTGCCACTGCATTATCAAAGTAATCATGGAGGAACATCAGACTTTTTACTCATTTGGAAAAGATTGATATTATAAATAGGATTTCCCAAGGGAAAGCATGACATATTTCAAATCTGTACTGTGTTAGTATAAACAGGACCACTTTCCAAGCAGTTATTAAAGCAGACTATTGTCACAGTCTCTTACTCTGTTTGCTATGGCTCTAACAAAAAGCCACCAACTGGGTCAAGTATAAACAGAAGTTCATTTGACTCATAGAGTTGGAGACTGGGTGGTTTGGCATCGCATACAGGGCTGCTGCAGGGCTGCCTGCCTGCCTTGTAACCTTCTCGACCATATTGTGAGGAGAGGAGGGACAAGATGAAGCTATAAGAGCAGAGAGCGAGGGAGGAAATGAGTCTCTGAACTTCTCTGAAATTAAAACCGAGATGCATTGGTGACCTCTCAAAGTCCCGTCTTAGCACCATCAGGGTAGCAAGTCAATTTAAACTCTAGTTTCCTGGGACTTTCAGTTCCAGACAAGCAGCTCTGTTTTGTTTTCTGAAGTAAAGGATGACGTATCCATTGCTACCAGGCCAGCTTACAACTACAACCCAGTTTAAAAAGTCATAAAATACTGGAGACAGATGGTAAAATGATTAAGATTTGTTTTAGGAACATTGCCTCTTCAATGTCTCAGCCCATCTGCATGTGTTGTTTTTCATTCAACAAATATTCACTGGCTACCTTAATACTGTAGAGAGTGTTCAGTTTGCCAGTTTTACTTGAATTTAATTTAAATACAATGAAATAATTTAGTTTGACTCTCATAGGATGTAACTAATATATTGTTAAAAAGTTATCTTAATATTTTGTTAATATTTTCAATAAATTTTCCCCTTTTGTTGCTCCTTTTAATTAGTATATTTGAAAAATTTCAATGTATTCATTGAAGAAAGATGTTGGGATTTTTAAAAATTTTGTGTAATATGTATTATATATGTATATACATACATATATACATTTATATATACACATACACAAATAATATATTAAATGAACTTCACTGTGTTATGTGTGTTGCAAAATGTATACCTCTGATAATTTAAAGATTAGTAATGATGTTGGCTTCCCTTTCTTAGGAAGATCATTGCTCCTCTTGTGACACGTCATGGAAAGTTGTGGTCCAACTTCTGGGGAGCACTGAGCCCTGATGGGTACTACGCTCGCTCTGAAGATTATGTGGATATCGTTCAGGGGAACAGAGTGTGAGTTACCTGATTTAATCTTTTCATGAACAGAACTGTAAAGATCTGCTCTTATTAATATTACTTGGTAATCATTTTTATCTCCCTTCATTTACTTAGTGTGAATTTGAGAGCTTGGAGATCACAATACTGAAATAGTTGTATAAAAACAGTATATATACATATATATAATATATTTCTTTAAGTTAAAAAGTATTCTTTATCATTAATGGGGCAACCTCATTGCTGTGTGATACTTGGTTGCCATGGGTGCCCATCTAGTGGTAGAGAAGAGTAGAGCTCTTTCCTGAAAGTTGGGAAAGACAGTTGAATTTAGCTATTTCATTTAATAGCTCCAATGAAGTTGTCTTGATTGCCTTTAAAATTTATAAATACAGGAATACTAATACAGAAAACCAGAACTTCCCAGCATTCCCAGTTGCATGCAGTATTTTGTTGTTGGTGGTGTAGCTCTTAGTTTTCTCATCTCTGTGTGGAGTAGCGAGTCATATACAGATAAAGATGGGAATTTCACTGATAATTGATTTCCATATTTTAGATGTTGAAAAAATACATGTGCAAGGCATGTGTACAAAGAATATTTACTTCCTAGATGATAATTGATATTTTCTAAATAAAAAAAAAAATCCATCAGTCAAATACCAAATGAATTCTGTTAAAGAATACTAGGCAAGAATGTTGCTCTTTTTTCCAGATGTAGATTAGCACACTTTGTCTTAATTATCCATCTCACCCGCCCAGTTAAAAAGTGGAATGTACTGTGGCATCTAGAAAGAGGTGCCCTTAGGTTAAATACCTTATACTTTTCTTGAAATGGTGGATGGTGGGGGAGGGGGTGCTTTCCTTCTCAAAATAAGGATTGCCATAGGAGCTTTACATCTGAATGATGCAGCTATTGTAAAGGTTTTGTATTGGTGAAATTATTATGGCCACTTCACGTAGTTAAAAGAAAGATTTATTTAGTGGGAAACTTACAAAAAAGGGAAAGGTAGGTTGTAGGGTCTGGGGAAGGTGTATCGAAGTTCAGCGGTGTTCTCTGGAGCTCTGCTCGGTCAACCTCCACTGTCTAGGGTCCAGGAACAGAGAGCATGCGCTGGCCCATCCAGATCTTGGGTCTCCCGGCACCTCCCTTCGCCCCGTCTTGTAGGGGTGACAGTTACCGAAGCCTCAATGGGGGTTGGAATTTCCAGATCAAAGCTGGAATGGCTACCCACTACAGTTTTGTTGTTGTTGTTAGCTGCTAGCATTGTAGGTAAGAAATTAGTATTAAGACAATTCTTTGTTATTTCAACCACTTTTATACACTCTAAAGTGACTTACATAGGCCATATATGTGATATTTTCCAGGGGTTGGATGGAAATGAAGGTTGTCAAATACAGAGCAGTGCATTCACATTTATTGTAGTAAGGCATTGTTGTTTTGTACACAGTGATTTCCTGCCTGACTTATCCACAGAATAAAGATGGTAGGGACCTTGGTCAGTTAGTCAACCAGATGAGAGAGTGACAGCTGATGCCATGTGTGTGTGCACCTGCATTTGTACCCTTGGAAAGAAGCATCATGTATTCCATCATGATTAATGTTTGAATTTACCTGACAAATTATATAGGTTTAAGGCCTTTTGATTTTTGATATTTTTTCATCTAAGTAAGACAAAATGATGCCCTTCTACATTTCCTTGGTCGAGATTTTCCCTTTCTATTTTCTAAAGTGACAGACACAGGCCTCCAGGTTGGTATCTCCCAAATAGAAGTAATCCTCTCAGAATGGGAGTGGGGTAGATGAAGAGAGAGAACTGTCTGTCAATACCTACACTTCAGCTGTATTTCCTCACCTCTTCCCCTTTCTCCACACAGATTGAACATAGTTCAGTGAATTCCATGGGAATATAACTTTTCTTTATTACTTTTTTTTTTTTATTTTTTGTGTGGTTGGAGGAATCCCCGCACTTGTAGTGATTACAAAGTTCTGTAGTATAAATACTTCTCTGGCTGATTTGAGTTTCTAATGCAGTTAGCACTGGTGTCTACTCTAGGGAGGTATGCCAGCTAGGGCCCGAGCACCTCTGGATCAGTGTCATTGCTTTTGCTATCAGTGGTTTGTGATTAGACAGAAAAGCCTCTGTACAGTAGACGACCATGACCTAACTGCAGCAGCGGTGGCAGGAGAGCCCCCCAGCTAGATGCAGCCTAAATTAAAGTGTCGGAAGATAAGAACTTCTCCTAACCCTCACTAGGATGTGTGTATACCAAAACACTTCACATTCGTCAAATACCATGTTTTATGACAGAATAATATATATAAGATATATATATATACATATACATATATATATACATACATATATATATATATAACATACACAAAGCATTTATTTTAAAATGTAAGCATGAAGCACATTGTTTGTATGTATGGTATTTTTGGAATATATCTTTTACTTTCAGAGGAATTTGGAATGTCCCATACATGGCTAATGTGTACTTAATTCAAGGAAAGACACTCCGATCAGAGATGAGTGAAAGGAACTATTTTGTACGTGATAAATTGGATCCTGATATGGCTCTTTGCCGAAATGCTAGAGAAATGGTAAGCTGCGGCTTGCTTGAACATTCGACACTATGGCTTGCTTTTCCAGTCCGTGTGTCACTGTATTTGGATGCCCTTTTTCGTCCTTATTTGTAAATACTAGCCAATTTTTCTGGTTCTTTATTTTTTGGAGAATAATTTGTGAACATTTGTAGCAGTTTTTAAATGTTAGCATAGGCCTGACTTACAAGCCACATAAGATTTTAATAAAGACAGAATTAAGAATAAGCTTTGTTCCTTTAAGAATATACCTTTACTCACATCTGGAATTCTGTACTAAGAAATCGAGTTTGGTTAATGTTAGTTTGAATGAAATGTTCTTTACACACTTAGTAAGCATATAATTTTGTGAAATCAGTGACCTTTTTCTAAGTGTACCCTATACTATTATTGATGGTACACTCTTACAAGGCAGGCTCCCTTAACTAGGGAAATAGTATATTTAATCTGTATGAAAAACTTATGATACATTAGTGTTTTAGAAATGTACTTTTACAATAAAACATAAATGCTTATAGAAAATAATTTTTCAAAATACACAAAATATGTTTTAATTCAGAAAACATATTTTAAGATTTTCTGTTTCAGATATTATGTTATTTCTTAATTTATATAAGCAGTCATAGCCTTACAAATATCAGAAAAGTTGGCAAGTGTTTTTTCTTAGTTTAACAAGGCATGTGTCGTTCCAGTGTGTTTATTGCCTGTGTACTGCCTGTGTACCTGTGCATCCTCTCTGAACACCCCCAGTACCTGTGGTTGTATTTGTGCTCATGTTTGGCTGACTTCACTCAACAGCGCATCCGGAATGGCCTCTGTTACTCATTTTTTCCCTTTGTCTCAGCGATGTACCTAATGAAGTTGTGCTAAGGAATGAGCTTGAATACATGTTTCACCAGCAAGTTACAGTGAGACAGTGGGAAGGCTGGACGGTCTCTGTGTGCACTGCAAGCTTCGCCTCTTTTGCATGTTGTCTAGGGAGGACATTTCACAATGTCAGCTTTTTATCAGAGCCGCTGTGTTCATTTACCACCATGCCTGGCAAATAGGTGTGCAGATCAACTGACCCAATGCTTCTCTTCATTTTAGACCTTACAAAGGGAAAAAGACTCCCCTACTCCGGAAACATTCCAAATGCTCAGCCCCCCAAAGGTGTCATTTTTATTTATTTTTATTCATTTTTCTTTATGTAATTGTGTTAGATGTGCTGTGTTGAGTGGCAGTTAAGTATCCTTAAGAGCGAGCCCGCCTTTGCATTGATGGGTAAAATGTTGGTACTCATGGGCTCCTTATCTGTCCGTATGTGTGCTGTGGGATTTTGCCGGAGTGTTGCTAGATGGTCAGCTCTTGGGTCATTGAAGTCATTTACATTTTATAATTAGCAGGTGAGAGAAATAACCTCAGATACTTTTACTCAATGTTGTAGGGTTTTGGGGTGCTGAGGAGAGGAGAAGGAAGTAGGTATAAAGTCCACCTCCATTAGAGATGAGGTTTTAGCACGTTCTGATGTGTTTGCTTGCCACTGATCTTTTCACCAACAAGAACAGGTACAAAGAGACGTCCTTGGTATCCAACACATTTGTTTGATTTAGGGAAGAACAAGAGACTTCCCTCTTAACTGCCTTAAGATGCCTAGAGAATTGTGCTGGGTCTGAAACAATACAACAGAGGAATACGAAGCACCGAGGAAGTCCTTCTGATATCTTGAGTTCTCATAAAATACGCATTTCTTTGAAAGGAAAAGAAGCCGAAAAGAAGATGCATGTCATTGCCCGTGCATGTCTGAAAAATATTTCTGCTTTCAAACAGGGTTTTTGTTCCTGTCTGTCTCTAGGGTCCTTAAGAAAGTGACAAAGCAACCCACTCCCCCTCTTCTCAGTTGTCCATATGTACTGTTAGTTTGGTGTGTTTTCTGGGTTTCTAATGATTTTTATTTATTTTAAAATGATACACGTTTTATGAAAAAATTAAAATGCATATTTATGAATTAAATATAAAAGTTAATGCATTCTCTATATTTTTTCCATGATTAAATGTCCTGTACTTTGAGAGTAATACTGCTGTTTTTGGTACATAGGGCATGTTTATGTACATTTCCAACAGACATGAATTTGGACGGCTATTGTCAACTGCAAATTACAATACCTCCCATTTCAACAATGACCTCTGGCAGATTTTTGAAAACCCTGTGGTATGTTCATGTTCAGCTCCCTTTGTTTATCTTCCTGTCGCTCTAAGTGGATATAAATCGAGTAATAACATTAGCACATAAATGTTTCTAAATGAGTACAAATAATTGTATTTTCTGATGTGCAATAGTTCTAAACTTGACCAAGAACTTTTTAAAATTAACACACACCTTACTTTAAAGAAAAGGAAAATTCAGTTTCTTTGCTTTCTCCCAAAATTCCTACTTTCTATATTCAAAAGTACCATCTAGTTCTTAACCATAGTTTTAGAAGAAGAAAAAAAAAATAACATACATATCTTCAAAAGGGGGGCGGGGGAAGACCTCAGTTACTAAAGATATGGTTTGGGGATAAAAATCTCCCTGCATGCAAAATGCATTAGGTTCATCCCCAGCTAACCCACCCTCAACCCTCACATACACAAGATATATCGAGAAGTTAGTTTGGAAAAATATCCATTGTTTTTCGACTTACTAAAGTGTTAATGACGATTTTGTAAATATATACTGAAGATAGCCAAAGCACAATGCAGAGTAAAGCTTTCTCCCGTATAAAGAAACATGTTCTTAAGATGAAGAAATTTGAGTCAGATGGTAATAGCCCTTGGATTTGAATTATCGGGACCCCTTTCTGCAGTATGGTTGGCACATTTATCCCTTGAGAAAGCTTTCTTGAGTAGTCATTTCAGTTGCCTTCTTAAGATCTCTTCCCCTTGCCAACAGTGGGTTTGAATTACAAAGAAGCAGGACACCTGATGAGAGTAGTCTTTGATTTTACAGAAATAACAGGATTCCAGAAGGAGCGACTTAGAATACAGAATCCTCTGTTAGATAGAAAAAGAAGAGTGTGCCTTTTTTTTTTTTCCTTTGGCATTTTTGTATTTTAAAATACTTTGTCCTATTTTACCTGCATATTTTCATCTTTAATAAAGGAAAACTGGAAATGGTTTTCTTTTTTAGGGAGAGGGTAGAATCTACACATTTAACTTGGGTTCTGAATTTTTGAGTGTTCTAAGGGGTGGAATTACTTGGCTATCAGCTTCCAGGTGAGCTCTTAGATCATATCCTGCATTGTATATATTCCTGTAGGAACTTGGTGCTCTTGAGAGGTTCCAGTGAAAGTGCTGAGCTGAATAGGCTCTGTGTACCTTCAATGGCTTTGGTCATTCTTTCAGAGTTACTTTAGTCTGGAGATGTTCTGTGGCAGAACACTTAGTGATTTCCCCATTTTCAGAGTTTTTAAAAGATAAATGAGATCATTATTGACTCAATGACTCGAAAGATGTTTTCAAATAAAGAGTTAGTGTTAGTGCCCAATATAAAACAGTAGGGACTTTAACATCAACAAATTTAAAAGGATGACTCAGCCTAACTGGAATGTGAGGGCTATATCTAAGCAGGGAGCTTTTCTACCCTTAACACTCTGAGCTACATTCCCAGCTCTATTTTTTTATGTTTAAACACCACATGTTTAATTTCGCTTGTATATCTTCTTAAATATTGTATATAAATCTATACTTTATAATATTATTCAGTTTTAATAACTTGAGACATCAAACTTTATAGATAAAAGACTTTCTTTAAAGATTGAAATATAAGCCGGCTTGTGAGAATTATTTTATTGTCCAATACACAGCTCTTTATAGGTTACTTGAATGATTTCTATAATGTATATACTTATAAATGGAAAAGTTATTTGTTTATTGTGCTTTTTTTTTAGGACTGGAAGGAAAAATATATAAATCGTGATTATCCAAAGATTTTCACTGAAAATATAGTTGAGCAGGTTTGTACTAATAATTGTAATGTGTAGAGTGGTTTTCATATAATTTCAACAAAATCTGATTTTACTATATTAGCAGGAATTTTAAATATGAAAAAATTGTTGTTTAGGTACAATGCATGAGATTTCAATCTTTACAGCTTTTATGTTTTTAATGGAGCCTAGCCTTAAAAGCTCACTCTTAGAAAACACAGACATGCTAAGTACTGGTGCTCCCTCGAGCCTCAGGAGCTGGGGACTGTTGATAGAAAGTGGCACAGTTGAAGCTTATGTCTGGAAAACACTCTTTCTTAAACAGTCTTTATGTAGAGAGACTTATTAAAAATGCACTATTTTTCAGGGTTCAAAACTGTCACTCAGATTCGATTTTGAGAAAGATCTTTCATCGTGTCTGTGATACACCATTGCTTTATGTACCAAGAGGAAGAAAAATACACTACCAATTAACTGTGATAAAATGATTTTCTAGTGAAGATTTTAATATGTGTGTGTGTGTATATATGTATATATATTGAAGATAGAGAGAGTGCTATTGCTGATATTGCTCTGTCTTCAAATGGTGGCACTGTATTACAGCCTTGTCCAGATGTCTTTTGGTTTCCCATATTTTCTGAAAGAGCCTGTGATGAATTGGTCGAAGAAATGGAGCATTATGGCAAGTGGTCTGGGGGAAAGCATCACGTGAGTTGTAACTTTACAGAAAGGAGTAAAATGAGGAGGGGAGGGGCCGATATTCAGAGATTTCAGAGGACATGTACCTTTTTGTTGTTGTTGTTACATATCTCAGACTGTGATCTAAAATGAATTGGCCATCAAAAAAGCTTTAGTCTAATTTTCCTGGTTGTTAATTGTTTTAAATCCCTCTGTACCTGGGTTCCTTTCTCATTTATGAGAGTAATTACACTGGCCATCAGGGATCAGTGCCCCTAGACTGGAATTGATTAGGAAGCACAGTCTTCACCGATCACCATTCTTTTACAAGGACAGTTTTTATTCCCTGTGCTGATTTTCCCAGTGCACTGTAGTGAAAATGCTAGGAAAACATCCAGTGTCAGCATGGTTTTGTGTGTGTGTGTGTGTGTGTGTTATTTACATCTGGTTAGGAAACTTGGCAGGCAGTCACACCAGCATTGATCCCATGTGTCTCTTTAAGAAGCCACAGGGACAGACAGCCCTAACCTTACTGCTCCTAAACCTTACAGTGGAGTTGTTGTGGGATAGTTTGACTCTTCCTGCATTTGCCTCACTTGGCTCACAGCTGTGTAGCTTTCAAAATATGAGGAAGAACTCCAAAGTCTAGAGGTGGCGGTGTGCTGGTAAATAATTGTTGAAAGACTTGGATTTCACCAAATTAAAGCAAGGTTTGCAGGGCCTCGGATTCAAAGAGCACATCAGTGGAATCTACCCTGATGGTGATTATAAAACATTAATTTCAGGGGTATGTGTGTGAGAATTTAGGGAGTCCGTTTTATCAATTTTATAGTGATATTGAAACTCATATTTACAATAAGTAGCTAAGTGTTTTCTAACTGAAGCTTGTTTCACCATTGATATATGTCATGTGCAAAATTCTGTTATTTAAATGGTCTTGATCTTTTAACTAAAACAAATAGCACACCATAATCAAATAACTGTTTATTTTGTTATGCATTATGATTCTTGATTGAAAAAAATACCCAGATAATATCAATATAAATTGTCTTGATGTATTAATGTGTATTTGTAGGATAGCCGTATATCTGGTGGTTATGAAAATGTCCCAACTGATGATATTCATATGAAGCAAATTGATCTGGAGAATGTTTGGCTTCACTTTATCCGCGAGTTCATTGCTCCAGTTACGCTGAAGGTCTTTGCAGGCTATTACACAAAGGTAGTTGTCTTGTTCCTCGTGCCTACAACCTACCAGTTCCCACACGAATATGCTCTTCTGCCTTTGCATTGTTAACAATTCTACTGTGTTGCTTTCCTAGGGATTTGCACTGCTGAATTTTGTGGTAAAGTACTCACCTGAAAGACAGCGTTCACTCCGTCCCCATCATGATGCCTCAACATTTACCATCAACATTGCTCTCAATAATGTAGGAGAGGATTTTCAGGTAATTATGATAAACATATTGAAAATTTCCTGAAATTCTGCATTATGGGGAAGGCTCTGCTGAAATTTGTTTTTCATTTGCTATTTAGATGGCATGGTTTGAATATTGCTACTGATTAAAAATGTGAACTGTTACATTGACATATATGTGTTTATCTTTTTCAGGGAGGTGGATGCAAATTTCTAAGGTATAATTGCTCCATTGAATCCCCACGGAAAGGCTGGAGCTTTATGCATCCTGGGAGACTTACACATTTGCATGAAGGACTTCCTGTTAAAAATGGAACAAGATACATTGCAGTGTCATTTATAGATCCCTGAGTTATTTACTCTACTCAGACTCAATTGTTCTTTGAGATGACTGGCACGAACATGTCTTTGAAGTTGTGCTTGAGAAGATGAGAGGAATATTTAAATAATGTCAACAGAACAATTTCACTTTGGGCCAAACATTTGAAAACTTTTTATATGAAATTGTTTGATATCTGCTCTGAGCCTTAAAACACAGGTTGAAGAAGAAAGGAAAAAAAAGTGAAAGTCGGTATTTATTTCTATGCTTTAACTGTCTCTGGAGGTAATGACAAGTTATAAAATGTTTAGGTACAAAGGCATGAATGATAATAAGCCTAGTAATATTTTCTTATTTAAGAAAAACCTGAGATTTTATTTATCATTGTGAAGAAGTATAGAATGTCGATATAAATGAAAATCAGCAAGTCTGGAAACCTGGATTACTGAATTTACATGTAGTTATTAAGCCATGTCGACCTCTGTGTAGGTCTGTTTCTCAGTAATTAGGAAGAAAATCCAAAGAAAAGATTGCACAGAGGTTTTCCTCAAGAAACCTAGTGCAGACCGCCAATGGGAGCATATCCATTGGAAGTATACGTAGCACGTGAGGCGGTTCTTGCTTTCGATTGGATAGTGGACCCCTGCGTTCCTCCAGGGCAAGCTCTCAGGGGAAGCTCACATCTTTCTGCTTTGCAAAGTGCTTAACTCCAAGTGTCCTTATGTCAAGCAGGAAGTTTGTTTCCTTCTATTCTTTCTCCCCTGCTAATTCTAGAAACTAGTGAGGCTACAACAGTTTCATTGAGATTAGTAGTACATTTTACAGTGTTTTAAAAAACTTCTTAACTACTTGAATTTTATATCAGGAAAATGGGTTTTGAGCCTTGTTTCTCCGCTTTTACTCCGAGTTGTTCTCTTTTTTCCCCCTGGGGGTTCCTTTCTTTACTTCACCATAATTTTATCATTCCTTAGTCATTTTTATTGCTTTTCCTCTACCCCACATGTAAAAAATCTCCACAGCCCAAATTTTTATTTCATTTTTCAATATTCTGAAAGAGGTTTAAATATCTTTATTATAGCTACTGTTTTTAATTTAAAGATTAAACTTGAAGAAAGTTCTTATTCCCGGTGCCAAAATTCATTTTTCTAACTCTCTGTTAGAAAATGATGAAAAAATAAAATAATTTAAAATAAACAGTGCTTTTCTGTATTATTTATTGATGGTTCTTTAGAAGATAGTATATTGTAAACTAGCCTGAGAGCATATCTGGATATAAGAGCTGTAATTATTTCATTTAGCTTCATGGTTAGTATTATTTAAAGAAAAATTACTATCTAAATTTTAAATTCAGTTACACATCTCTACTCTTACAGTGACCAGGTAGTTGATAATACTCATTTTACAGGAGTGGAAATGACAGCCACACATTTGATCGACATACATATTTGTCTAGTGGTAGTTTCGGGTCTGTGATGATCCAGGCTCTGTCCCAGGCAGTGAGTCCATAGTGATTCAGCTGTAGTCATCACTAGGAGATTGATTTGGGAAGAAAGTTGGGTTCTCTTCTTGTACTCTCCTTTGTAGCAAGATTTCTTGTTGGACTACCTTTGGACTACCAGCCCACAAATAATGACACAGAGATTTATTAATTATGGAAGCTTGACCTTAGCTTAGGCTTTTCCCCAACTAGCTCTTAATGTTGCATGAATCCCAAATGGACTTACAATAAAAACCCGGAGCCAGATATCAGACTGAAAGCTGAAAGATCAGAGAAGCAGAGCAAGCCATAGCTACCACCTCTTACCTCATCAACTCCTCAGCCTGAAAGAGCCAGAGTTCCTGTCTCCTCCAGCCTTATAGTCCTTTCTCTGCCCAGCCATATCATTTCGTATTTCAACCTTCCTAGTGCTGGGATTAAAGGTATGTGATCCCAAGTGCTGGAATTAAAGGCGTGTGCCACCACTGCCAGGCCTCTAGTGGCTTGTTCTGTCCTCTGATCTTCAGGCAAATTTTATTTGTTCAAAATATTACCACATTCTTATAATTTAATTAACACATATATTTTTAAAACTACATTCTGCCACATAGCTCAGTAATCTCCTCTTAGTATGGCACATCTGAGTTGCTCAGACTCTGCTGATGAAATCATGTGCCTACATTCTTCCTACCAATTTCTCTCTGCCCATAAACCTTGCTTATTCTCTCCTGCTTAGTTATTGACCATTTGGCTCTTTATTAAATCTAACAGGAGGCACCATAGATTGAGACACTTCATTACAGTGTAAACAAATACTCTGCAACACTTCCTGGTGGTCCCAAATATCCACAGTAGATCAACTAGATTGAGGAAGTGTTTTAGTAGAGATTTGTGAATTTAATTGCACTTCAGACAGAATGTTGACAATATGTAGATCTGGTTGGCGTTGGGGCCATCCAGTTGCACCAAACTGTAAAGCAAGTGGAGTTCTTTCTGGGATCTAGCCTCACTCCCATTGCCACACTGTTCAGAGGAGGCCAGATGCCAAGCATTGGCTCCTATGTGGTGGAATACATAGACTGCCACCTAGTGTAATGAACGTCATGCCATGGTTCCAGAAATGGAATAAAGACAGCCAACTTAGCAATTTTTCTGTTTTTTCATCTCACTTTAATGAAATAATATAAAATGTACCTTAGAATCATAAGTAGTGAGGGAAAATGAGTAAACCTCCCATAAGTAGGTCATACAGTCTAAAAGATGGAAAAAAATGTAGGATTGGGTAGATGCAGAAAGCTGACTAATGAGACACTGATGAGAAGAATTCCCGGATCTACCTTTGAGGCATGATTCATGTGTTGTTTTTTTAGGAATAACAAAATGTGACATATCTCTAGAAGAGAGGTATGTCAGGAAAAAAGAGCATTCTAGCAGAGTGCAGTACCAGATGTCTGAGGGTTTCTGTTGCTGGGACAAAACCCCATGACCAAAAAGCAAGTTGGGAAGGGAAGGGTTTGTTTGGCTTATCGTCAATGAAGAAAGTCAAGACAGGGACTCAAACAAGACAGGATCCTGGAGGCAGGAGCTGATGCAGAGGCCATGGAGGGGTGCCGCTTTACTGACTTGCTTGACATGGCTTTCTCAGACTGCTTTCCTTTTTTTTTTTTTTTTTTGGTTTTTCAAGACAGAGTTTCTCTGTGTAGCTTTGTGCCTTTCCTGGAACTTACTCTGTAGCCCAGGCTGGCCTTGAACTCACAGAGATCCTCCTGCCTCAGCCTCCCGAGTGCTGGGAATAAGGGTGTGCGCCACCATCGCCCTGCTGCTCAGCCTGCTTTCTTATAGAACCCAAAACCCCCTGCCCAAAGACGGCGGCACCACCTATAATGGTGCCTCCCAATTGATCACTAATTGAGAAAATGTCTTACAGCTGCATCCATCTCATGGTGCCATTTCCTCAACTGAGGCTCCTTCCTCTCTGATGACTCCAGGTTGTGTCACGTTAACACATAAAACTAGCCAGTACACCAGCTATATTAAAAAACAGTTACATCTCTCTGTGCTTCTATCTCTGTGTGTGTGTGTGTGTGTGTGTGTGTGTGTGTGTGTGTGTGTGTGTGTGTAAAATATTCTAGAGAGGAGCATAATGGCGTGAGATCTGGAGTAAATGGATTTTGTGCTTTTTGTTGTTACCTTGTTACTGAAGACTTACTATGTAAATACATTTAGGAGCAGGAATATCATTTATGTGTGTGTGACAAGACAGCTTTCAAAGCCTCATGAAGGTGTCGCTGTTTTTCGTTACCTTTTCCCATTTTATGTTTTCTTCCTTGTTCCTGCTTTCTGCCTTTCCTCCTGTTTGAAACCAGAACCTCTCGCTTGCACTCATCTTACACCTCTGACCTTTTGTTTGCTAACTGCTGATGTATGTAAGAATCAGTATGAGTATTGTCCACCAGAACACATAGTCTTTCCTTTCCATTCTGCTTGACCTTTGAAAATCGCTAATTTCTGTTGGTGATTTTATAGAGTAAAAATATGGGAAAACCATACATATATGTATTAAGTGGGGGGCCTCCTTGTGACAGAGGGGGTCCACCTTCCGGCTTTCCTATCTGGGTATACCTGGTTAATTCGCCTGTTTGCTAAGCACTAGAGTGCATCTTATGTGTTAGTGTTTGGACATGGTATTCATTGGGAATGTGGAACCTGTTTGCACAACGGATCCCTTTAAATTGCAGACAAATTTAAAATTGCTGTTCACAGTGGAGAGTCGGTCTGTGTAAATAACTTCCTTTCACTAGGTGCAGTTTTAGAAAATTAAATTATTTAAGACACCATGAAAGAAGGCTTGTCAGCACTGTTTTTCTGTGGCCTTTCAGAAAACAAGTATAGACTTTCAGATTGCTAGTAAGAAAAAGACATTGAAGAAAAAAAAATGGGAAATCCAGAAAGGCTTTTTGTGTGTGCATTTATAGAAGAAACAGGCTTTGAATCCAAATTTAAAAAGTAAAAAGAGAGTAGAAAAGTACATCGAAGCATACTATTAAAATGCAAACTGAGGCCAGACATGGTGGCGCACACCTTTAATCCCAGCACTCAGGAGGCAGAGGCAGAGGCAGGTGGATCTCTGAGTTCGAGGCCAGCCTAGTCTACAGAGCTAGTTCCAGGATAACCAAAGCTACACAGAGAAACATCTCAAACAAACAACTCCCCCCTACCAAATCCAAGCTGAGCTGTGGACTGGACTTGGAGCCCTGTGGAAGGGCTCTTGCCTCACTCTTGTGAGAGTGGTTTTCTTGCTAACAAGTTTATGATGTTCACATTTGTTCACTTATTATATTAAGAAACCAATTAGCATGTTCTGTTTTCACTGAAAAATACATGATGATTTTCGAATATTGATATTGTAACTTAGGAGTTTCTGCCTCTGTTATGGTTAAAAAACAAACAAAAACAAGTCATTAATTTAAAATTAAAATAGCATGCCATAAAGAGAGGTTACCACCCTGAAACCTCCTCATTCGAAAGTAGATGTTACTTTGTCATTTAGAATTAAGGTGTGGAGAAGATTTTCTGTAGATGATGTGGTTGATAATAAACTGCTGTGTGCATAGTTACACAATGAACATCCAGACTGACTCGGATCTCTTAGAAGAGCAAAGGGAATCAAATCACGTGGTGGTTGTATCTGGCAGAGCTCAGTAACAGCCCAAGCAGCGCTGGGCAAATGGAAGCATATTTTCTACCGAGCATCAGCGGTGCATAATTGATTAACTGGAAATACTGTGTAGTTGCCAAATTAAGTTAGCCTTGTACATTGTGTTTTATTAAATTATGTCCATGTTTTATCAATATTTCCAAACTGTGACGTCACAGCTCCACCTTGTGGTTAAAATCCACACATGATAGTCTAATCTGAGCAGGATGCAAAAACTTTCATTTTCTTTTAGTTGTTGCTGCCTATTTTTTTCTTTCAAAGCCAGTACAAATGAAAATGACAGAGATGATTGTTTTTCACAGTTCTTTTCAGAATGTTCTGCTGTGATATAATCAATGTTTTCAAAGGAGGAATCGCAACACCTTATTCTCAAAGAATAGGCATTCTTCCAGTGATGAAATGCTCTGTTCTCAATTCTTGACTGCTTTGTAGGCTTCTCATCTGTGTTCAGTTGGGATTGCTAGCCTGTGTGATTAATAAAATGTGTGTAGAAAAGGCCAGATGCAGGAACAATTGGTAAGCATTGGAATACTCAGGTACATCTGGACTACCACAGGAACAGGTTTGTAGGACTCTATTGTACAAAGGAACATTCTTTGAATTGCTGTGTATGAAAAAGAAATAAATGATAATTGTGAGTGATCAACAAAAAGCTGATGGTTGTAAAATTAAGGACCAGATTACTGAGGTTAAGAAAATAAAAACTAGGTAACTGAAACTCTGAAAGTTACAATGTCTGTGTTTCTGACATTAACAATGCTCTTGCTGGGGTAAATGGAGGGAGGTTGGCCAAGTAGTTCACAGCTATGCCTGCTTCGTGTAGTCACCTTCACCTCTACCCTTTCCTCATGCCTTGGCTGTTGAACTGAAGCAAAGGGCCCCAGTTTAGTCTAGGGTGACATATCTCAAAGACAAGGAATGGGAAGTATTGGATGCTTGTGGCAGTGAGCCTGCAGAGCTAGTCCTGGATGGGCAGTGACATGAGCTCTTGTGAAGTCA